TCGAATATGTAGACTGACACAATTTCGACGCTATATTAGCGTCGAAAAAATTCCGACGCTAAATTTCGATGCTAATTTACAGTTTTCTTGTAGTGCTAGTCAGAACTAGTTGCGAGAATTCATTTAGCCGTGACTTGGTAGAGGATGGTACCACTAAGACTTTCTAATGACTTTATATATGAAAACACATTAGAAAAAGAAACTATAAGGGAATGTGCATATTAAAAAAAAATGCATATTCTTATGAAATTTCTTTTAGTTGGTTGGGTCTTTTACTTAGGATACGCCTAAAAGTAGGCTACAATTTCTCGTCTAGAACTTGGAAAGTCTTGAAGTTTAGACTTTAGACAAGAGGAAAAATAATGGACGGAGTCGGTCTGGTACAAAGTTGTTGTCCTTAAACATGTGGGTTAGCCATTTAAACATATCGCCAACTAGACATAGACTAGTAGTTTGGGGTCTAATCACCTTTCATATTATTGTTTATGCTATGCTGCTCTGCCAAAAATCAGAGGTCACCTTCTACTCTTTTGTGATTTCTCTTTCCAAATATGGAAGCATATTTTGTCATGTCTAACTCCACTTAACAATTGTTCTACTTTTGGTATGAGTTTCTCTCCTAGACACAAGAAAAACCTCACCGAAGGCTCAACATTTTCTTAGAGGAACAATGTTCTCCACAACATGCAACCCATTCCTTCAAGAACATCGACAATGAAGTACGCAACACCATCACATTTAAAGATACAAAAAGCGTTGGAAAGATTTAGAGTGTGAATGTTTGGTCATGTTAAAGTAAATTCTTTATTGAAAAAAATGTATTACGCTGAATTACGTTATAATGTTGTCAATTAGGATGCAAATATTCTCGCCAAAGTAGAGTAAATACTTTTGTCTTTTTGTGATTTATAAAGTAAATTTTCCCTATCCCTTTTTGTAGAGTAAAAGTTTTACTGCAAAATAGATTTCCTCTTCATTTTTATTATTCCTTTCTCTTTCCACCATTTTACAACAAAAAATTCTTCCTTTCACAGCCTTAGAACTCAGAGTAATTCTTCCTTTTTCTCTTTATAAGAAGAAAAAAATTCTGCTGAACAAAAAATATTTTGTTTGACTAAAATAAAATTGATTCCCTTTGTGATGGGTCCAGAAAAAAGTTAGAAGAAATTTGTTTTCTTCTTCTTTTTTATCTACCAACACCTAAATCATACGGGTGTAAATAGTAACAGATGAATTTGGCTGAATTGCAGAATCTGGCTGAATTTTTTGTGATTTTTTACAGAATCTGACGGAATAACTTAAAACTTAAATGGTAACAACTGAATCTGGCTGAATTTTTGA